ACCACCACGGACGGCGGTGCTCCGGCCAGAATCGAGCTGTGAAAATAGATGGGTTTTCTTCGTCTCGCTGTACTGAGTCCATAGGGACTGAAATCATCTCAATCGGAGGTCGGATGGCGGAGATATCACGACGGGAGGAAATGGGAATTTCGGAACTTCCGCCGGCGATTGCGGCTGATTCCGGCGGGGTTGGAGGTCGTGCCGCATGTCGTTGAACTCAGCTCGTCGAGATCTTTCTATTGACACCGGTGGTGTCAAAAATGGAGGTCGGAATCTTAACTTGAGTATTTGGCCATTGATGGTTTGTGTGAGAGAGAACGTGAGAGGAGAGAGAGAATGAGCGAGAATAAGAGAAAGAAAGTGCAAGAACCCTAAAAATTTCACTATATAAAGTATCTGATTAAGGCAAGATTACGTGCCTGATCTTATCCTCAATTATTTCCTCTAAACAGATTAAATTTATACTGATTAGAGGTAATTAGTTTAGCTCACGTAAGTTAATCTACTACTTACAGTCCAATATCAATTTCTGAATAATTCAATATTGTTTTATATTCTTACTCGCATAATATTTCAAACTGTTTCAAGTCTTGAAATTAATTTTAGACTGAACAAATTCTAAATTTTAATTTTCTGCATTCTATCCCAAGAATGACGTTTCTGACAATGTCAACTCCCGAGCTCATATTGTATCCATCTACTATAGGTATTTATCTTGTGACTTTAACCTAACTGTCTAGCAATTAAGGATTTTTTTCTTCTTTTAAAATGCCAGTGCGTTTTTTTTATACGCCGCTAACATCGTGCTGTGCTTAGAGATTCTTGAAATTAAGATTCTCAAACTATACTTGTACTGAAAATTATTCCGCCTTAAAATACGGCGAGAATTTATCGATCGAATTTACTTGATCGAAACATGAACTTAACATGAAATTTGCTATTGAATTTAGGAATACATATATTAATTCCATAAATCCTCCATTCACAATATAACATAATATTTTCTAAGAAAATCCTTGGCTTAGAAATACATGAATTGTATTATTTAAGGTCTAAAATTTTCTCAGTCATTACATATATGTGTAAAGGATAAAAATAAGCTGAAATCCCACATTCTTTAAATACAAGAATAAACACTAATTTATAAGAATATTGGGTCACCCCACTTACAGGAACTGACCTTTTAAGATGATGCCCAAATTTTTAGAAAGTTTAATTCCGTATTAAGTTCTTTAACCATGCCAAATTTGCAATGATCACAAAATGGCAAAAACTGATACGGTGCACTTTTTTCACAAACAGAAGTATCAACTTTTTTTGTTAAAGACGGTACGCAACTTGTGTTATGACCACTTGGCAAGTAGTGAAACTTTAAGTAGGAGATTGCGACACATTTTAGGCTTTTTGTGATTATCTTCACACAATACATATCTCCACAGAATTGACACCAAGTATTCTAATATAAAGCAAAAAGAATCACAATTTCAGAATGTAAGCCATTACAACTTCGAGCAAGTTCATTTGCACATTCTTCATGGAGCTCAAACTACCCTCTTTCTCTAGCCTTACTAGGAAATATCCACCAGCTTTTCGTCTCTTTACCACATCGCGCGCTTAGAGACTTGGCCAAGAAACATGGACCCTTCATTTACCTAAGACTTGGACAAGTTCCAACCCTAGTAGTTTCATCAACAGAGTATGCCAAGGAAGTGATGAGAACCCATGATGTCATCTTTGCATCTAGGCCCCGGAGTCTATTCGCACAGATCTTGTTGTATGATTGTATAGATGTCGCCTTTGCTCCATATGGTGAGTATTGGAGACAGCTGCGGAAAATTTGTATGCAGGAGATCTTGAGCACAACAAGAGTTGAGTCCTTCAGACCCATGAGAGAAGGAGAGATGTTTGATCTCGTGGAATGGATTGCTTCAAATGTCGGGTCAGCTATAAACCTCACTGAGAGGATTAAATACTCGACATATAGTATAACATCGCGGGCGGCCTTCGGTAAGAAAAGCGAGCACCATGATGAGTTCATTAATATAAACCAGAAAACTATTACTATATGCTGCGTGAAGATGTTTTTGAGATCCATAAAATGGCATGCATGATATCTACGAGCATCCCTTCAAATAGAGTTTCATCTATGGTTTATTACATTTTTGCTGATTAATCAGAGACCTTGTAAGTTTTGTTTCGTTTTTATTTATTATCAATTAAAAACCCAAAATCTCTCCGGAGAGGAAATTTTACAAATGATGGAAAAAGGAAAAACGTAAAAAGTAGTTTAAAAAAATTCATACTTGAAGCATTGGATACTCCAAGTCTCTGAATAGTGCTGTAGGCATTGCTTTTGCGATATGGAGATTACTGGAGGCAAATGTGTAAAATATGCGCATTTTGTGTCGTATTTGACAAATTACAAATGGCATTTCGTTTACAAGCATTAGTTTACAAGTCCTTCATTCTTTAACTTTTTTTTTTTTTTCCAAGTTCAATTTGTACTAACAATTATCTCCAATGTTATGGAAGTCAAACCCCATTTATCACATTGTCATAATTTAGTATTGTTAATACTATTACATGTTGCCTAGAATTTTACACATAATTTTGTCTACTTTTATAATTTAGTATTGTTAATACTATTACAAGTTAAATTTGTACTAACAATTATCTTCAAGCAAGTTCATTTGCACATTCTCTCATGGAGCTCAAACTACCCTCTTTTTCGATCCTTTTCAGCTGCGTCGCCTTCGAGTTTATGGTGCTGAGCATACTTACCGAGAGTAAGTAAAAACTTACAGCCAATCTTCCATATATCTCTTGCTTTATTGTTTTAGGAAGCTTGGCAAACTTAGTTAATGTGAGAGGAACAATATCACGAACAATGGTTCCGATTTCGCACTTAAACAAATGGGCATTGGGGCCTATACAGCCCTTAAGACCTCTTTGCTACATTCAACAGTAAGCAGCTTAAACTTGTTCATAGCCAATTTGCGACTTGTGTTGAGACCTCTATTCTTGCCACGCACACTCTTTGATAAAAAAAAATAAAAAACTAATAGTAACAATAAGAACAACATCTTTCATATATTGTAGTCTGTACCATATTAACTTTACAATTCTATAAAATAAAAATACATGTAGCATTGAAAAGAAATAAACAAACTTTGAACAGATAAAAGTAAAAATAACCGTACAAGTAGTGCAATTGTAGTTGGTTAGCTGCATCATCCATAATACGAGTAGCCTGATCAGATGATGATCTTCTATTTGGTGCCATACCTGATCAATGCATTAAGAAAAAAAAAAAAAAAAAAAAAAAAAGGGACAAAAGAACATTGTATATATTTTGGACTAACCAGAGTCTAGCCTTTGTAACTAGAAATCTCAACAACAATGAAACACTAATTTCAAGTGTAAACATGTTCCCTATTAAACTATCAATTTATCGTTTCAAATTCATTGACTTTATTACCGGGTACACTACCAATATTTTTGCTCTCCCATAAAATGTGCAAACATTTTACAATAGATGTGCAGAAGATATTTTAACACAACACACACACTTGAAAAGTTGAGAGGCCTTTGTAAAAATGACTCAATAAGAAAGTTTTATTAATTTGTAAAATAACTTTTCAAAAATTTATTTACAAAATAACTGCAGAACGATTAGGAATAATTACTTTTATAAAGAACGACGGGGTGGATACTCTTTATAAAAAATGAAGATGGTCATTTTGTCAATTGTCTCTAAAAAAAACTAAAACAAAAAAATTCAAAAGAGACAAAACCTTTAGAGACAAGTCTTATTTAGTCTCTAAAGCATGTTTTTAAAGACCAAAATAGATTTATCTCTAAACATATCGTCTCTAAGAGTGTTTTTTCTTGTAGTGTACTCGTGCTACCCATTTTGTCTACAAATAGTGAATTTATTAACTGATGGATAGATCTCATTGTAGTCAAATCTCTCAAAATGAATTTTGAGAGTCAAAATAAAACAAATTCATATATTCAGAGGTAACCTTTTTTCTTTTTGAAACTAAATAATTTTCTTTTGTATTTATTCTTTTTATTTCATAAAATAATATCTACATTATAAAACTTCAATTAGAACTTAATACATGCAAAGTATGTACCTTAACAAGTATACTATATATATAAAAGAATAGATATTGCTTTTTTATAGTACAACCTTGGTCGTCTATAATGCATCGTTTGTACCAATATTCCCTTTTCCTTTCCATTACAGATTTATTTTCTTCTATTTCAATTTTATTGCTCTTGTAGATTTCTTTAACCTATCTTAACTTTCTCATCGGAATAAGCTCATTTAATTCCAACTTCTATTACCGTTAGTTTCTTTCATTCATTTCATGGTCAAATTAGTTAATAAATTGTATATTTCATAAATCACAAAATAATTAGACTTCTAAAGTAAATATCAATGAGTCAAAATAATAGAAATACGTACCTTTATAAGTTATTTGTACAAATAACCCTTCTTTCTATTTGAATATCTTGGTAAAATCTTTCTTTTTATTCTTCTATTCACAATCTACATTTTTTTAATCTACATCTACGTAATAAAAAACTTTAGTTACAACTCAGTACACTCATCACAACGTATCTCAACTATATGTGTGTTTGTATCTTAAATTCTTATTATAATCTTAATTTTAAATTATATCCTAATCTTAAATCCTAAATATATATTAAAAAGTGGATTTGTGGCGATTATTCATTTAATGGTAATCAAAAACTGAAAACTGTGAGTTTTAACTTTTTTTTTCTTCTTCGTTTTCTTTTTAAGTTTCAACTCCTTTTGTTTTTTTGTTTTTTGTTTTTTCGTCTTGTTCTATGTGCCAATTGTTTATTCTGTGATAGTAGAAATGGTGAGCTTTAGGTGCTTTAATTTGTTTAGTTTCAACTTTTTACCTTTTTTTTGTTGGCATTTTATAATTTATAATGTCTCATCTATTTTTATGATTAAACATGACCTTTTTCTTTAACCTACTATTAATGTACATCCCTTTTTAATTTCTTAGTACGTTTTCGTTTTTGTGTTTTTTTTTTTTTTCATATTATTTTTTATATTCTACATTGTAAACATCGTACGTCTCTAAACTAGTGGTACCCAAAAATTTGAATATTGCGGAGTGATTATATATTTATATATATATATTTACATAAATATATATACATAAATATATATTTATATATATATACATAAATATATATATATGTACATCAAAATTTCACAGACTTAATTCAAGCCATAGTAACTTCAAACTAGTTTGATTATAATTTCGACATGGAGCTCAAATTACCCTCTTTCTCGATCCTTTTCCGCTTCTCCGTCTTCGTGTTAATTTATTTATTCGTTTATAAAGTTATTTCAAAATATATCATACTGGGCCTTTCGCTCACGTTTTATTATTTTATAAATGTTAACCCCTCCCAGGCGACTCTAGGAGCAGTGCGGAGTAGCTGAGTTGCTACCACCTAATTAAGAGAGGATTGTGCTCATCCTCCTGGTGTATAAATGTAAGAATTGTAAAATTCTGTAAACTCTAATATTTAAATTTTTAGACTGTGGATGATGTCTGTAATGTTATTTACATGTTTATGTATGTACAATACTGAAGATCCTATGGGTAAATCCTGTGGGTGTAGCCCTGAGTGATGTTAGAGGCTCCAGTTCTAGCGTCTTCTTTGGAAAGTACTTTTCTATTAAACGGGAGGCTTGTTTAGGAAATTTCCTTAATATTTTATTTTAATCATGTTTAACTCCTAATCGAGCCTCCACGTCACCGACCCCTGCTCCGGGGTGTGACACACTTCCTTGTTCAACCGCTTATTATAGCCACTAGCTCCTCTTATCTCTATCATTGGGCAATCACGTTCCAAACAGAAGAGAAAAGTCATTAGAAAATTGTCTCCACATATTCCTTATCTAACAGAATTAATAAACACCAAGTATTCTTCTATGAAACCAAATACATAAATATGTATGGTGCACTTTTTCACAAACAGAAGTATCAACATTTTTTGTCAAAGACGGTATGCAACTTGTGTTATGACCACTTGGCAAGTGGTGAAACTTTAGGTAGGAGATAGCGACACATTTTAGGCTTTTTGTGATTAAAATTTTTTGGGCTTATTCGGACCGCAGCCTCCTCCTTTGTTAATCGTTGGAGAATCTCCACAGAATTCTTCAAGCAGAAAGCAAAACGAATTGACACCAAGTATTCTACTGTAAAGCAAAAGAATCATAATTTCAGAATGTAAGCCATTACAACTTCAAGCAAGTTCATTTGCACATTCTTCATGGAGCTCAAACTACCCTCTTTCTCGATCCTTTTCACCTTCTTCGTCTTCGTGTTTATGGTGCTGAACATACTTATCAAAAGAGCCAAAACCATCAGCTCAGATTCAAAACTACCGCCAGGGCCATGGAAATTACCCTTACTAGGAAATATCCACCAGCTTTTCGGCTCTTTACCACATCGCGCGCTTAGAGACTTGGCCAAGAAACATGGACCCTTTATATACCTACGACTTGGACAACTTTCAACCCTTGTAGTTTCATCAACAGAGTATGCCAAGGAAGTGATGAGAACCCATGATGTCATCTTTGCATCTAGGCCCCGGAGTCTATTCGCACAGATCTTGTTGTATGATTGTACAGACGTCGCCTTTGCTCCATATGGTGAGTATTGGAGACAGCTGCGGAAAATTTGTATGCAGGAGCTCTTAAGCACAACAAGAGTTGAGTCTTTCAGACCCATTAGAGAAGAAGAGATGTTTAATCTCATGGAATGGATTGCTTCAAATACTGGATCCGCAATAAATCTCACTGAGAAGATTAAATATTCGTCTTATAGCATAACGTCGCGGGCGGCCTTCGGTAAGAAAAGCGAGCACCATGATGAGTTCATATCGATTGTTGAGGAAGCTATAAAGGTAGCAGGAGGTTTTGATATTGTGGAGTTGTTTCCTTCTCTTAGTTTTCTTGCCACGATCACTCGTGCAAGGCCTAAACTCGAGTCGATTAAACATAGGAGTGAGAGGATAATGGAAAAGATAATCAAGGAACACGATGACAAGAAGTCAACAACAAAAAGCATTGAAAGTCAAACAGATCAAGAAGATCTCGTTGATGTTCTTCTGAAATTTCATAACAATGGTGAAATCGGGTTCTCCCTAACAACTAACAATATCAAAGCGGTTATTTGGGTAAACATATTCAATTTTAGTTTTCAACATTCTATCCACAGAACTAAAAGATAAACACATGTTTACACGCCTATACCTTCAATTAACTGTAGTCGTTCCAAAGATATGACTTCTTTAAGCCATCCATTTAGAGTAGTGCATTGTTGACCAAGAAAAATTATTATTTATTTCACCTGATTTTTTGGTTCAATTGCATGCAATAGGGAATTCTATTGAATTTCAATGGCATAACACTACTCTTTAACTTTCAGGATGTCTTTTCTGCTGGAAGTGAGACATCTGCTACGGCTGTAGATTGGGCAATGGTAGAAATGATAAAGAATCCAAAAGTGATGAAAAAAGCTCAAAATGAGGTGAGACAAGTCTTTAGTAGAAAAGGGTCTGTCGATGAAACCGTACTTAGTGAGATGAAATATTTGAAATGCATTGTTAAGGAGACATTGAGGTTACACCCTCCTGCTCCTTTATTAGTTCCAAGAGAATGTAGAGAGAAGTGTGAGATTAATGGCTATGAGATACCAGCTAAAACCCAGGTCATAGTTAATGCATGGGCAATAGGAAGAGATCCTAAATATTGGACGGAACCTGAGAGTTTTATACCAGAAAGGTTTCTTGATAGCTCTATTGATTATAAAGGAACAAATTTTGAGTATATACCATTTGGGGCTGGAAGGAGAATATGCCCCGGCATGTCGTTCGGTTTGATCAATGTTGAGCTTCCTCTTGCAATGTTTCTTTACCATTTTGATTGGAGACTTCCCAATGGAATGAAACATGAAGACTTGAACATGACTGAGTTGTTTGGTGTCACAGTTAGGAGAAAAGATGATTTGTACTTGATTCCCATTACTTATGATCTGTCACCTATTGGAAAAATCTCTAGGAGCACAAAGTAACTTGTAATTTCTTATTCTTACACTAGTAATTAAGTTGTTTTTGTTGTTGTTGTTTTTTTTTTTTTTTTTTTTTTTTTTTTTTTTTTTTTTAAAATTTTCCCCTTTTTTTTTTTAAAAAAAAAA